ATTGGAATGGTTAGGTGGATCAATAGTCCTAGTGCTTTCAATTAGATCGTTGCAAGTTCAGTCATTGATTGCCCTTGTTTTTATTTCTTTTTTCTGTCTTTAATTTTTAGTAGTTAAATTTGTTAAATCCAAAATTCGGTTGTCCAAATAATCAAAGGGAAACTATAGTTTTAGTACTAATTTTGTTAAATCCTCATGGGAATGATATTTTTATACTACTTGATAGCTAGTGCACTTGCTAGGGTTATATAATTATAGCTATCAATGTTCCCAGTGGTAATTAGCTCGCTGACTTGCTCACTAAACTGCTTCCCTCTACACGGTTTCTTCATTTCAAGGACAAGCTGACCATTGGTCCACCCCTGTCCAGCTTGAGGGGGGATGCTAGAGATAAATCCACTCTGTCTACATCATCAACTGGATAACAACAATAATTGTTATCTGTGGGCTTATCAACCCCAGATAACCATTATCTTGTTATCAACCTCTGGTTCTGTTGTACTTATCAAGTTATTTGTACATTTAATTTTTGAATTTTAAATTCTGTATCTCAATCTATATAAGCCTCTGTAATCTCAAAAAATTATATAATGAGAATTCACCTCTTCCATTGATTCTCGCGCTTATGCATGTAGTGTCAAAGGCCCACCAATCGTTGCAGTTCATTACCATCCCTTCATCGGTGCTTGATTGAACGAGTGTCTCGAGGTTCGATTGCTTCCGAGGAGGAAGGAGATGAACTGCCTATATTTGATATTTAAAAAAAAAAAGTCAACTTCTTCTGGAAATTATATTAAAAATGTTATTTTAATTGATATTAGGGCTCAAAAGTTGTCCTTATCTACTAGAACCCCCATCTAATTCCCTGCTTTTGTTTTGATTTTTCGGCTTAGGTCCTGTCCAAAATGCGGAAAGGTCCTTGGTGAGGAATTGTTTTTCAGATATCTCAGACGTGTTTGAAGGTATATCTCTAGTTGTTCTTTTCTTTTTTATTTTGTTGGATGTGTAACAGACCAAAATCGAAAAGGTCAATATTGGATCCTAGTTGTTACAAAAGAGTAGACATTCCGATCAAACATAAAGAACTTGACTATTATATTTTAGTGGGTAAGGAAATATTTAAGGCCATGCAACCAGAATTAGGGTTGTTATTTAACCACAAGGTCTCGTGTCTGATCTCTTTGCTGAAGGCAAGACAGTCCATGCTACCATGGTCTGATCTTTGTCATTGGTTTCATCTTTTCTCAAGGCCAGAATAGTTCGATTTGGGTTGTTCTCACTTCTTTCCTTAATCGATTGATACGATTCAAAACTTTCTGGTTTTGTTCTATCTTTTCATCGCTCAATATTGGACTGTTTTCAGTAGCCTTGGTCCTTGGGACTGAACAAGATCAGTTCATCGTGGCATTCATGCTGAACTGAACCACCCATTCTTCAAGAATTAATTGTACGCTTGCTTAGTGAGTTGTGAAGAACGAATTAACTGTTCAAGCCTTCTATTAAGATTTACTGATGTTGATCTTCAAATATACTCAGTTCTTTATGTCATGATTTGATTGCAGTTCCAGAACACGGGGAATGAAAGTAGTGAATAGAGTCACTCTAGAAGGCAAAACCAGGAGGATTTCAATAATCGAGGAGGCTTCTTCAATCTTAGCGGTGGAGGTTCTAGTGGTGATGGCTTTGCTTGGTGCGATCGTCCAGCACTAACTTAACATGAACCGAAAGCCAAAATCTTGGTCTCCTTGAGGTGTTGAAAAACCAATTGGCATCCTTAGACAACTTCTTGGGCGAGAGATGAAGATGACAGAGAGTGGATTATCTGGGACGGGACTGAGATGTAAGAGAGCTTCTGCTTGTTGTTCTTCAACTTTGCCATCACAGCCATCAGAGGTACCCCCTTCAGAAGTTCTCTGTTTTTGTTCTTAGTTTTCTTTCTCTGTACTCTAGAGTTTAGACCAGAGAGAGAGAGAGAGAGGAGTGTAGTTTGAGCAAAGTAATGGGATGAAGAAAATAGCAGAAAAGGAGAAAAAGGTAAAATAAATTAGAAATGGTAGTTTACACATTTAGAAAACTTAAAACATTAAAATCAGAATCTTTTTCGAAGTTAACTGATGGAACACTAATGGAGGGGTCTTTGTCTAATGATCAAAAGTTCAGGGAGGGCCTTTGTCGCAAAAATAGTGCAGGGGTCTTTGTCACTAATCCCGTAGTACAGGGGATCCATGTAATTTAGCCTATAATATTTAGGGTAATTTGTTAAAACCTTCCATAAAGTTTAGTAATTGCAATCATCTTTCTTGAACTTTTTGACATGGATGAAAGTAGACCCCCTTAGTTACAATTCTCTAAAAAGAGTTATAAAATGTCGAAAATACCCATGTAATTACTATTGAGACTAGTTTCTTATTGAAAAAATAATACGAACTTTATGAACAACAAGAAAAGGAAAGTATAAAGTTACTTTACCTATGAGCATTTGATATGAAGGGCAAATTTGAACATAAATCAATTTCGAAAAAGAGATTGAAAGGATTTGAAATAGCATTGATATGAAGAGAATTTGGAAAATAATCATTTTGGTCAAAAGTAATGGGATATTTTAGACATTTTCATGCCCCTTGTTAAAGTATTCTAATAGAGGGGTTTACTTGCAACTATTTTAGAAAGTTTAGGGGAGGTGATTGCAATTACCAAACTTTAGGAGAGCAATGGTTGAAAGCTTTAGGAGAGGTTTTAGTAATTTTCCCTAATATTTATACATGCAAATATAAAGTTAAATTGAAATTTGATTAAGTCGGGTTGGTAGAACTAGAGGCCTTAATTCTAGCCCAAATCCAAAGTAAGATCAAGTTTAGATATTTCAACCCAAACCCTAATCCAAACTTCAACCCAACCCTACTTTTTCGAATTGGATTCAAGTTAACTCAGCCCTACAATCAATCATATCTATATCTTTATCTATACCATACTAAAAAAATGAGAATGTTGCAATTCGTTAAGTTAAAAGACCCTAATTTCACTTTCCAAGTTTTTACCCTTAACTTTTTATTGTTCCCATTTTTATGTTGTCATTTCATTCCATTAAAGAGTTGATTTTAACATGTCATGCATATTGGTGTTTCAATATATTGGCTTTTAATCTCACTAGAGATTAAATCCAATGGGGTTTGATTGGTTAATTATATGAAGAAAAAACACACTTGCATATTTATCTTGGAAACTAGTTTTTTTTATACTAAAACCATTTTCCAACTTGTCCCACATTGGGAAATTAATAAAGATGTGTTGAATTTTTAAATAGGAGTTTGTTTATACTCCTTATAATTATAAGAGGAGAGTATAGAGGCTTACTACCGCACAACATGCACGTATGTGTGCGTGCGACGCAATGAGGCGCACTTTGTGCCCAAAGCAGCTTTGACTTTTGGTGCGAGGCTAATCGTTGATGTTTCAACATTCACGATTCGATTAGATGTAATCAAGAGGCGTTATTCGTAGTTAATAGTCATTACCTTTTAACAGTTATAAGGTTTGAAATTGTGACCATTCAAAGAGCCTTTTCTAAACTAGCATTTTCTTCTTCTCCATGACTCTTCAGAAATTATATAAGGAGCATAAATCAAGCAAATGAACACAAGTTTTTTTTTTGAAAACCACTCTTGTCTCTCTCAGTTCGATCTGCTACTCTCTCATGAAAGATTTCTTCGAAGACTCTTCAACTTTGCTGGTTGTAGATTCTCATACAAGACTCTGTTATATCATGGGAAAGAAATTGCCTATAACCCAATAACAAACTCAATAAAACTAAGTGAGGGGCAAATAACATTCTAAAGACGATGTTTTTAGACATGGCTCAAAGCTTTTCCTCCAAGTTTCGGTGACCCCAATTCCAAACACAATATTTACTTAGAATTCGGTTCATTTTCTTGTTGCTTTCTGATAATAAGGTTGAACATTGTAGAACATTTTCTTCTTTCTCACTAAAAGATGAGGGTTCGATGAAACTTGGAAACTTGACAAGTTTCATCTAGTAAAATGATCTAGATGTGCATAAGAATTCTATTTCTTTGATTCCTTGGCTTTAGGAAGTTGCTAGGAAATACGATTGCTGTAGTGAATTCCCCGTTTCCTTCTTTAGTTTACTTTCAATACTATTTTTGATCCGTTAAGTTTCTTGTTCCAAGCAGAAACATATTAAATTCATAGTTTAAGGAGATCGGAAGATTATTTGTGCTTTTTTGGCCTCTCCGGGAAGCTAGAGTGATGGCCTTTTGCAATCAAGTTCATTGTTAGTTTGGGAATTCTCCATTCTCTCTAGACATTTTCATAGTTAGTTTTTTTTTTTTTTTTTTTTGAATTTTGATTGTTTATACTTGGCATTGCTACAAACTTGTTTTCTTTTTGATATATTTTGTTGTGGGAAAATGTATGATACGGAAAAGATATATTCACTTTATTCGCTACGAGGCAGACATACCTTCTAGCGCCCCACAGAGGATATCACCTCTCACCCGTATATTGTGAACATTTTCCAATGATAAATACCGAAGATATTCCCAATGCACGACGAAATATGCATGTGGAGCGCCAATGTGATCTCACCTGCTACCAGCATTCCAGATACGTGGTGTAAGATTCACTTGTATCCGCTAAGAAACAAAGAACGTGGATGATTACGTTGGTTACGGTTCGTACTCTATGTATTTTGATTCGACGCGTCAGGGCCTTATGTCCTAAACTAAAATCACCAATTAAGAAACACCACGTCAGCTCATATACTGGGGTCCAAATGAATCTTGCGTGGCATATGTTGATAGGTCACTGAACCGTTTGATGCGCCATGCGAGGAGAAAAGGAGCAAGAAAACGAAAATCCCAACCGCTGCTTTCGAGAAAAACGTAGGCAATTTTGAGCCGTCGATACGCTCTAACGGTAACTTTACCGTTGGAGCTAGGTTTCAAATGTCTTATAATCTCACCCATTTGTGCCAGGGAACATCTCTCGTTCGTTGCTTGTCGCTCCCCGCTCCCTGCTCTCCTTTTCATTTCTTGCCGACCGACCGGTCAGAATACACAGTTCTCGGGGACCCAAATTCTTTCAATGGAAACCCCGTCGTCAACAAGAAGAGTTACAAGATCACAAACCTCCATTGCAAGTATATGATCCTCCCTTTTAGTATTCAAAACGAATGTATCAAATGTTTACTGAAACAAGTCGTACCGATGTGTCGCATTTCTCATCTCTCTTTGTTTTCAGGGAAGAGCGAAGAATCTGAAAAGGCGACTCTATCGAGACAGAGAAATGGGAGATCGGATAGATCAGCGCTCATTGACATCACCAATGACTCCCCCATTGTTGGGCTCGCTTTGCAGAGCTCACATGCAACTCCTTCATCCCTCGCCAAGAAGAGGGACCGACCCATGCAAACACCAGGTTCTGGCGAGGCCTTGCTCCGAGGTCAGGTTAAGACCCTTCTACAGAAGGTCGAAGAAGAAGCCGAGCTGTCGAAGTTCTCTTTCGAAAATCACCTTCTCCATCTACACAACGTCGTGAGCTCTCCATCCGGGCTTCTACCGACTCCAGCAAACACACCCCAGGTCCCTAATCTATCGAGCAATGACGACATGGATGCGCTATCGGCTTCTTTCACGCTCTCTGAATCCGACATTTCTCAGGTTTTATTTGATTTCAGTCGCTTAAAATTTTAACTACATATTCCATTTGGGACCTCCCCCCCCATCCTACTGAATTCTAAAATCTAATCTACTTTGTGTTCAGTCCGTCACAGGGATGGATGGAAAGAACGAAGAGGCTGCTGAATCTCATAAGACTGTGGTCACTCGGTCATTGCTGTTTGATTTCTCTGATAATTCAGAAACATCTGATTACTCAGACTGCTCCTCCGTGTTGACATACCAAGATGAGAGTGGAGGACGAGGAAAACCAATTGACGAAGATGACGCATCAGTCTGGTCTATACAGGTTAATGCAAGTCCTCAAGATGACGATGAAGACGACGATATCATCAATGAAGATGATAAAGAAGAAGATTATGAAGAAGAAGAAGAAGGCGAAGAAGAGGTGGGGACATATAGTATTGACGAACTCTGTGAAGGGCTAAGAAAGATGAACGTGAATCAGAAGAAAATGCCGGGGTTTACAGGGAAGCACACTCGGTTCATCTACAACAGCGATGACGAGATAGAAGGAGAAGAGGTTGCAGAAATGAAAAGTTTATCCCCTGGTATCGTTCGTTTGAAGGGTATGCCCACTCCGGAAGGGAAGCATCTTCGCTTCCTCGAAGAAGAGTATTAATATTGTAGGAGATAATTATGATCTATTTCGTTTGTGTCTACCTCGACGCAATCTATCTGTTGAGGGAATAGTCTGTTTTATACTTAGTTTACTGGTTGTCTTTCAAAGTATAACTTCAAAACGAGTTAAATCAATTCGCCATGAATGAAAAGCAAGGCCAGTAATTGTTTTGTTACTAGACAGTCTTGTAGTTACCTGATCAACCGAAGTAGATGAACACAAGACTGATATAAATCACACTCCCAACCCTCAGTTAAAAAAGCCTTCTCCTTCCTGCTGAATCTCCAT